AAGGGTTGTCTACCAATTATCCTCCCCTAACTTCATCAAATTCAACATTCAAACCAATGAGAAACTTAAAGATTCGGTCATCTTTAACCTTCTTTTTATAGTAGTTGTAATCATCGGAAGATTTCCACTCTTGAGTATTGAATAAATCTAAATCCTGCCATAAGCATTTCGGTGAATTGAAGTATTTGGTAACACCGACTTCGCCTTGACAAATATCTCCAAGTTTCAACATCGGTTCATAGACTTGGGATTGATTTCCTAAATCCGAATACATAAGATTGACATTGTCCTAAAGCTCCTTAGCTATGTGATAACACATGTAGTTGGAGCTAATCTTCCTCCATGGAGTTTACCAACCATATCATTACCATAGAGTTTTCGACATCCCATATGGGGTATGTCGATCATCAATGGCGGGTTCTTTTTTATCTCCGGTAATGTAGCCAATTTTCCCTCTACCTCGAATATATATGCACACGGATTGGGACTAGCGTAAGAAATTATCTCTATTCAACCGAATAGTAGTTATTTGGATTGAATGAGATTCGGAGGAAACCAAGGCTGGAGTTTTTTTTTTTTTTTTGAATGGATGAAGTAGATGAAGAAGCATTAGTGGTTGTGGAGTCGGATTCAATTTCGGACATGGTGGAGTTGTGGTTGCTTACTTGCGACTAGGTTGGATGAGGAGGTCGTGTATAGGTTAAACAACTAAGGTTTTTTTAGGTTTGCTCGATACCATATAGAAAAATATGAAAGAAGCGAATAATAGTTGTATTTTTTGTATCGGACTCAAAGTGTTACGACTTACATATATAGTAAATAGACTAGCCTATTTAGGAAGTATTAGCTATACAAAGAGACAGAATTCCCTAACTTAGGTAACATATAAACTTTCTATATTTACACCATAAATTACTCTATTCTTAATTATTTTATTTCAACACCAACTCGTCAATGCAAAGTTGGCAAGTACTTGCTTTAGTGGGCTTTAGAAGTATACAGTTTCTTTATTTAAGGTATGCTAATAGAGCCTTATAATCTATAAGCATTTTCTAGGTCCTAAGTGCCCTACAAGAGATTTGCGCTTTCGAGCTTAAGCAATTGAGCTATATTTTCATATAAATGTCGATCTTAGGAGGAATCATCTCACAATAATCAAGTAGTGGACTCAAACTAAGCCCACTCTAACTTGGCTCTAAAATCCTCGGTTGCGTGTTTCATTCTCTCTCGTCATGATTTGTTTTAGTGATAACCTACCAAAACAAAGATTAGAATGTGTGACATCATAAAAGAGTTCATGTCTTAAATGAATTCAACCCTAACAAATAAGATCTAGTTTTTCTAAATAGGATTTAGGTAAAGCTTGTCTAATTTAAAGGCTTTTCAAGTTTCTAGATTGCCTAGATTACTAGTAAGGTAACTTAGCCTCCATCCTTATGCAATGAGAGGTATGGGAAGATCATTTCATAATTTCTCATGGATAGGATGAGTTTCAATCCAAATAAAAGTTTAGATGAGTATCGATAGACTTTCATCATACTTATCATCTAGATCTTCCTATCTAGGTCCTAAAGGTTTATTTATTGATTTTTTTAGCTCGAGTCCGAGCTTTTACCGCTTGTTTTTTTATGATTTGTGTGCGACGAACACCAAACAAATACACCTAACCTAGTTCAAAATATACATAAAAATAAATTACTTAAATTTAAATTGATGATAAATAAAGACTTAGAAAATAATTAATTTGAAGATAAATGGTATATATAAATAAAAGAGATAAACTTAAAAAAAAAAAATACTAAACCTATGACTTTAAATTTTCAATGGAGTCACCATGTTCTCATTATCTAACATTTAAAAGACTTCCAAAATGTGATGTTCTAAAGAAAAAGAATTAAAAAAAAAAAATTTTGGAGTCGCGACCTAGTATTAAAGGTAATTAAGAAATCTAGAAAGGATATTGGATTTAGAGATTCTAGTTAAGGAATTGGTTACTCTTTTTGAAAAATAACATTCACCTAAATGCACTCTTTTTAAGAAAAAAAAGTATCATATTTAATTTAATCCTAAAAATATCTCCTAAAAATTATGTTTGTCAAATTAAATTGACATCGAATCTCTAGATTAGAAGTCACGCCAAGTTAATATCGGATCTAATTACGTCTTGACATGATCGACATATCGAAGAACGACTTAATTAGCTAAAGTCATTCAAACTAATTTGTATTTATCCTAGTTAATTCTCTTTCTTTTATTTATTTATTTTTGGATAATTTTTTATTGAAGGTCGAGACTAACATCAATCCCTATTTAAACAAGAGACTTGTTAGGTCAACTTAAATCAATCTAATTTACCATAAGAAGAAATGTTCTTTTCTAATTACAAATGAAGTTCGATATAAGATCATCATCGGTTTCGGAACCTAGAAGACTTGATGATCTCACATCTTACTAAACGAATTTACAAGCTTCAAAAAAATAATAAGTGAGTTAAATTATAAGCAAGACATAACAAAAAAATACCTAAATAAACACCAAACAAAATCTAAATTCAACAAAAATTTACAAACCTAATAACATATACATTCACATCCCCTAAAAGTTTTCAATTTAGATGTAATCGAATCATTGGACCAAATAATTAAATTTTGACACAAACCCCCTAATAATTAAAATAATGACAAAATAAAAAATTACAAAAATAACGAGTAAATTGACTCCTAAAATTAAAAAAAAATTAAAAAATAAGCTAAGGATAAATGTATGAACAAATTCTAAAAATTTCATATTAAAATAAAAATTAGACATTAGACCTAATAATTAAATTCCACAACAACTCATATTAATAATAAATAAATGATAGAATAATAAATAAATTGAAAAATAATTATAAATGGATTCCAAAACTTACAAAATTTAAAACCTAAGCTAAGGATAAATACTTGAACAACCTCCAAGAATTTCATATTAAAATAAAATTAAAAATTGGACCAAACAATAAATTTTGAAACAATTCACACTAATAATTAAAATAATGGTAGAATAATAAATAAATGGAAAAACTAATAGTGAATGAAATCTTAAAATTACAAAATTTGAAACAAAATTTAAGGACAAATATATGCATAAACTCTAAAAATTTGTAATTAAAATAATTAAATCAGACCTCTCAAAATGAATAAAAACCGAAACTAACCTTCCGATTAAAACTCTATGAATTTCACCCCAAAAATCATCCACATTACATTAGGGACTCAATTACAAAAGATCTTACTATCAAATACCAAACTGAAGAGACCCTGTAACCCTGAGGACAATAATTTTAAAAAAAGTGTTTCCCTCTGTTTTGAAGCAAAGAAGCAGAATCTTTGTTAATGGCCGAAACCTTGGGGGGGAAAAAAAAAAGGAGTCCCCCCACCTATGGTTTCAACCTCTAAAATTTCATCCTCCTTCCTCATATACGCAAAAGATCTGAGCCAAAATTGTTTTCCACCCAACCTTTTCAACCTAGGAAGAGCTTTAGAAAGAGAGAAAAGGAAGCCTAGGAAGAAAAAGAATTACCTCTAGAAGCTTCTACGGGTAGAAATTAATGGACAGTGCACAAGAAGAAAAGCTCAAGACTAAACTCTTCCTCCCTTCCTATAGTGAAGAAGAGAAAGTGGCCGGAGTTAGAGAGGAGAGAAATAACACAGTAGGTTTCTTTCAACAAAACCAAAAACCAATAACCCTAAAAAGGAACTTTAAACCCTAATAATCACTTCCTCTTTTTTGTAACAAGTCGAAAAAACAAGAAAGAGATCCTCCCCTTAATGTTTCTGATTCCTCCTAACCCTTTCGTTTTTCTCTTTTCTTTTTTTTTTTTTTTTTTCAAAATCCTAAACTGTCAAAAACTTCCTCCCTCTTCTGTCGGTTTTTCGTTTATATCGGCCCTTTTTCCATTTCAATTCTAACCATTGGATCGTCTCTCTCTCATCCTCACTGTTTTTTTTTTTTTTTTTAGTCCCAAGCTCGCTGCTCCTTTTGTTTTAACTGCCTTGGCCACTGTCCATTGTTCCCTTGTCACAGTCGACAGTCCTGACGTTCGCATGCCTCTTCCAATTTCATCCCTCCATGTTTAATTTCTCTTCAATTAGCCCCCTCAAGTAAAGTATTTCGGTCCTTTTTGTCTCAATTTTCACTAACTGACCCTTCACCGTTCTCGATTGCTCCCCCTAAAATTTTAATATTCTCATATCGACTCATAAACTTTTTAAATTAATTACAGTAAAAACCCTAAAAATCCGAAATTGATTCTCTTCTTTTTTTTTTTATTATTTATGATAAAATCACGAACGAGCAATTAAACTAAAATTAAATAAAAAAAAACCTAATACTGATAATATATATTTTTGGAAAATATATACTACAAAAAAAAAAAAAATTATAAAACGATCTAAGATAATGGTGAGGGGTCAAAATTAAGGTTATAACAGTGGGCTTAAGTTACGCCTGGGCTTAGATCACTAATGTTAGCATAGGCTGTTAGTATGATCTGTCAAAATTCAGCTATTCATGAGTGACTTCTATAAAAGAGCACGTAAGACAAATAAAGTATTAACAGAATTTGTCTTCTTGTCCACCTTCCTCCCTCTTTCTTTTTCTGTCTTCTTCTCCCTTTTTCTCCTTTACCGTATCAACAAGTCTAGCTAGCACATTCCCCCTTTCCTATTTGATCCTGCGACCAAACGTAAACCAACTTATTCCGATCTTTATAATGGTTAAAAAAATTGTAAAACCAGCAACAAAAAAGCAACGATTGAAACAAAATAGCAAAAATAATAAAGGCACCCTTTCCATTATTTCACAGGCTGCCCAAATGCTGCAAGGCACATTATATTTCTTGCAAAAAGGCTTTCGAAAACAAATCTTCAAGTGAATGATCAAGGGTATACTATAAATTGAATACGCGGTTTCAGCTGAAAAAAATAAGAGAAGAAAAACGCTGTACTGTAAATCCTAACAAATGACCTGCTTGTGTAGCTGTCGTGAGCTCCATGTACTACTAGTCACTAGGGATGGGAGAATAACTGTCGGTAACCTCTTGCTTTCCTCCACATCAGGAAAATCAATCGTATAGTGCAGCCCACGACTTTCTTGCCTAGCGAGTGCACTGCTCACAACCAGCTTTGCACAACAAAAGAGGTTTCTCATTTCACAAGCCTCAAGCCCCACCATTGTGTGTTCCCATCCTCTCTCAAATAAGTACTTCTCCCATTGGGCCTCTAACACACTGATTTTTTCCTCTGCGGTTTCAAGCCTTGTCGTTGACCGGATAATCCCTACGTATTTCCACATGATTGACTGCAGTTCTTTCCTCACTTCTCTTGTCTTCCTCAATATGTTGTCCATTACATTGCTCCCAAGTGAATTGGGTACAACTGGTCTGGCCCACCAATTTGAAGCACTGAGATCAAGGCTAGAGCTCTTCATGTGATCAATGGAGGGCTGAACAGCTCTTCGAGCAAAAACTAGTGCTTCCAGCAATGAATTGCTAGCAAGTCGGTTTGCTCCATGCAAACCAGTGCATGCAACCTCACCTGCCACGTAGAGGCCCTGCACATTTGTCTCCCCCTGAAGCCCAGCACGGACGCCACCGCACATGTAATGGGCAGCAGGTACCACTGGAATTGGCTGGCAGGTTATATCCAGGCCATACTGGAGGCACTCAGCAGCTATGTTGGGGAAGTGAGAGAGAATCTTCTCCTTGGGCTTGTGACTAATGTCAAGTAGCACATACTTCTCATAACGCTTCTTAAGCTGGTCGTCTATGCTTCTTGCCACTACATCCCTAGGAGCCAGCTCCGCTCTCTCATCATACAGGGGCATGAATCTCTCCAAGTCTAAGTTATAGAGGATGCCTCCATCACCCCTTACAGCTTCAGTGATTAGAAATGCATTTTCTCGAGCTTTGATTGGTTTTACGGGAAGTCCTTCTTCGGCTAAAGCAGTTGGGTGGAACTGCACAAATCTGAAAAAACAGATGAGTGTAGGATACTAAGATCCAATCAGGAAAAAAGAAAGAAAGAAAGATCCCAGTTAACATGAATCTCCAATTATTTACTGGAATGTACAAGATAAGCAAGGATGTGATACCTGATGGGAAATTTCCTAAGCCAAATAAAAATGCTACATAGGATTTAAAAACCAAAAGAAAGCAATGGTTCTCCTAAAGATAAATGGCTTGGTGGGTTTCCAACCAAAAAAGCTCGCCAAATTATGAATCCCACCTCTAACAAGTAGTGAACACCTATTTACCACCAGTAACATGAGAACAAAATCATCATTTAAGTCTTCCACAACTAAATGCCTAAATCATTGTAAGCTTGCTGATAAAATTAAAGGATAAAGTATCTGGCAGATATTCCATCTTTGACATCGAACCATATGAAAGATGATCCTGTACATAATTAAGACATAATGATTTCATTTGGACTCCCTCAGAATTGTATAAGCAGTTACAAATTGTCAATTATGTCACCCATACTTGAGATAGGGACTGCAATGAGTGGGAAAATATTCATTTTCCTGATAATATTCGATGAGAGCGTACTTACTCCATGTTGGAAATCACAGCTTGAGCTCGGTGAGCCATGGCCATTCCATCTCCTGTTGCCACCTATAAGAACATAACATGAAATAAAAACAATCTGATGGAGTGATATACTCATGGGGAACAACATTATAGAAATTTAAAAAAGTTATAGTTACCGGAGGATTTGTGGTGGAGGGGTAGATATGCCCAGCCCCACCTGATGCAATTAAAGTCACCTTCGAAATAAATCGAACAACCTTGAATATAAGGGAAGAAATAAGATTTTCAGGATAAATTTAGAACTTCTACCGTAACCAAATATGTAACAGAATCCTGATTAAATGAACCTGTCATCACCTGTCGTGTTTCAGTGTTCAAAGCGTCCACACCATGACAAACCGTGTCAGGACCGTTCTGCAATGCCAGAAACAATGAACAGGAGCTTTTGTAAGAATTAATATTTTCCTTAGTAAATATATTTTTCTTATTTAGTTTAGGAATCCTTATGTTATTTGGATTCTCTATTAGTCCTATATAACTTTAAATGATGAGTCCTTTTCCATTAGGATTTGGATATAGACCTACAACTAGTATAAATAGGGCTGCCTATGCTATTTTTCAGACATTTCTTATATTATTATCAATCAATTTACATTTTGGAGATTGTCTACCAACCATAAACCTATTTTCCTAGTTCCAGCACCAATTTTCTTCTACTACTAGCCATTATATTTACTGTTCTTTGCTGTTTTGTGTTAACTTATCTCCCCACCCTACGTCAAACAAAAAGCTCGTTCCGGTATTCACACTGCTGTGGACCCTCAAACTTATACGATGCCAAATGCAGATAAATGAATCCATGGAGATGTCAATATATTCACTCAGTCCCTCAATTTCGAAATAATATATTAAAGATAATATTATGATACTTTTGGAAACAATTCAACTAAAGCTTACCATATAAGAGTCCTTAAAACCATATAATTTTATAAAGAAAAAAACACTTTTAAAATGTGAACCTGAGAAGTTAGCAAATCTATGGCAAAGTGGTGCTCAAACACAGAGATACAAGGATCATTGACAACTGCCTCCAGTAGAGCTCGCTCAATCTCTCTTCCGGTCATATCAGCAGCATGAACAATTCTACGGTGAGAGTGACCCCCTTCCCTTGCTAGGTGCAAGTTTCCATCCTCCCCATGATCAAACATTGCACCCATAGCTATCAATTCTCTAATTCGGTCAGGTCCTTCTGTGCAGACAACCTAGACAAAGTAAAAACATGATGAAAAGCTCAATAAAGCAGCAGAGAATTTCTTTAATTAACAATCAATAAATATGTCTCACAGTGCACACACAAGCTTACAGAAAGTGCTCATACAAATCGTTCAATGCAAGTTCTAAATTCACAGAAAGTCAGCATATATTCAACAGAATTCTTCAAAGTCAACAGACTGCAGTCATCAGATTACACAAACTATATGATTCATAATTTTACTAATTCTGAATCTTACTCTGACAGTATCCTCATCACATAGATAAGCCCCTGCTACAATAGTATCCTGCATGTGACTCTCCACAGAGTCTGATGGGGACAGCACTGCACTAACACCACCTTGGGCATAGTTTGTATTGCACTCATGGGGTTCAGCCTTGGTAATGACAGCAACAGTTCCATATTTTGCAACTTCAAGAGCATAACGCAGACCAGCAACTCCACTTCCAATGACAGAAAAATCAAAGTACTTAACTGAACTATCTCTGACACAAGATGATATGCTGACTTTTCTTGTTCCGAGAGATTTCCAGTTTGTGTTAATGGTAGATTGAGAAAATTTATCTCTTTGGAACTGCAACAACTTCGATAGCCCATCTAACCTGGAAGATTACTTAAGAAATAAACATATATATATCATGAAAGCTTTTATATGACATGCAATTCAGAATAATGAATATCAGAACACACATAAGATGTAGTACCATCATCCAGTATGCTTTATTTTCAGGAGAAAGAGACATGTCTGGTAACCTATTTCTCATGAAGCAACTCCATTGTGAAGTAATCATCTCAGTGGCATAAATACCACGAAGTTGAAATCTACTCTAAACTTATATTTCTGTGGTGGTCTATTTAACAAACACCATAGAGGCAACCACTGTAAAATAAATAAATAAACAGGTCAAGGATTCTCAAGGAGCCACAAAGAAATCATATTTTTTGCATGTGTAGATTTGCAAATTGGTCATTGATGGTTGCCGTCCACGGTCCACCATTGAAGCAGCTCAAGGCATGTCTCTATAACTACAAGGTAACAACAGGGAGTAGCTTCATAAAAAAAATAAAAAAAAATGCCAGATCAAAGGATTTTACGTTTATATTTTGAAAATCTTTTCCATGAGAGATGGCTGTGACCTCAACTCCATACAAATATGTAAAGAATATGAGCAATCCTCTTAGAACATTTGGAATTACAAAGCAAGGAAAATAGCATGTAAAAAAATTACAAAAAAAAAAAAAAAAAAAAAAATCAACGGAAGTTCAATGCACAATAAGTCAAAAGAAAACCAAGATTCATATCAAATATACCATGAAATCTCATTCCGTAAGCATCCTTTGAATGTCAAACCGGAAACCCAAGAAGTTTGTCTACAACCTTTTGCCTGGCAGAAATTTAACCGGTGGTTGAGGTTGCTGCTTCCACCAGCTATACTCGTTGTCATTTAATTTCCTGCAGAAAACAGAAGCAAGAAATAAGACGGTTAGCCCAGACTTAGAACACAAATTCTGGCATCAATCAAATCCTTTTTTTTTTTTTTTATTTAAGAACACCCTTTAATTTTTCTGCCAGACATGCAGACAAACAGTGGAAAATATGAAATCTAGATTAGGACTTGAAAACGGAGAGTTTGGACCTCAAAACAGGTTTCCTGCATTTTAACACACCAAATGATATAGTCTGTCATAGATAAACCAGAAAAGGCAGCACAGAATAGCAATAACAATATATTTTTAGACATACATGTAACAAGGTAATAATTTAATTATGAAAACTAAAAATTGTACCTGAATATTCAAAATTCAGAAACGAGAAACGATTGGAGTAAATAAATAAATAAATAAAAGAGAGAGAGAGTTTTGAGGAGGATAAACTAAAGCTAAGAACTCCGGTGGCCAAGCAAATGACTAAAAACTAAACCAGAAAAAGAAAAATAATACACACACTCATGTCATAACTAACCATAAACAACCACAGCTCAAACATAACACCAACACTTACAATGATGGGTTGGGATGGGATTGGGTTGGGTTGGGCTCGGTTCTATCCTAATTCTGTGGTTCCAGACACGCAGTACTACTCTCTCTCTCTCTCTCTCTCTCTCTCTCTCTCTACACGTGAGTGGAAAACCTGAATCTCAAGGTAATGCTGTTGGCCTCCCGTTTAGAAAAATATCAATCAATAGACAACAAGAGGAGATGAAAACGAAGAAGAAGAAGAAGAAAAGTTAATTCAATACTAGTAAAAAAACTAGAATGCTAATAATCATCCCGAACCGCAACCGCAACCTTTCGTAATCTCGTTTGCCACTACCTAAGACCTGCCTACCTACCCTACTTGTTTTTGTAGCCGAAAACCCAGAACCAGAAACATCGTCGAAATTCGCGCCACTCTTTCCTTTCTTTTTACGCTTAATGCGCCGCCGCAGACTTTTCTTTCTTTCTCGTCTTTACTTACTTGACTTTTTTCACCCAAACATGACTTTTTTATTTTTCTTATTTTTCCTAAAACACATACTTCATGAAAATTAGCTTCAGAGCTTGAGTAATCCTTCACTTCATGCTTCATACCAGTCACGTGATCCCTGCGTTGCCGCGGGATCGGATTTATAATCATACAGGTTTGTTTAGATTCGTGTTCTTTTTGTTATGTATGTTAAGATTCTGTTTTAGCGTATTATTTAATTTGATTTATGTTTCCATAAAAGAAAAAATAATTTACTGGTTTATTTTACATTTTATCTTTGAACTGTTTAATTTTTTTTATTGAAATACTTCATTATTAAAAATTTATTAATTCAGACGTTTCGATATAACTTTTTTAAGTATTAATCCGACATAACATGCTAAAATTAATAATATTCGATTGTATAGACACCTAGTAATGTAAATCTTACATATTATAATATACATTGAAAAATAATAAAAAGAAGGTTTTTTTTAAAAAAAAACATTAAATGAACATTTAAATTTTTTAAAAAAATGAAATAAAAAAACCACATTATCCTAACTCATTATTCATCACCATTTGACAAACAAATAACCTTTTTTTTTTTACTACTACTAAAAAAGTTGTTATTGTCTTTAAAGGCACTTCTAATGTTGAAGACGTAATCTCTTTAACCAAAGAAGAAGATAGTATGTCAGTCTTGTCCCTCTTTCTTTCTCCTTAAAGGTTTTTTTTTTTTTTTTTTTAAATGAATGTTGTTGATGGTTGAGGTTGAGTTTATGATTCTTTTTTGGGTGATGAGAAATTAGAAAAAAGAGTAAACAAGTGTGCTTGGTTTTCGCTTTTAGGAAATGGATTTTTTTTTTTTACTAAAAACTTTTTTTATCAATTAAAGTTGTTCTTGATGTGTGTGCTAACCGCATTGTGATTTTTTCTTTGTTGAACTTATGTTTGATGTTGCCATAGAGATGACAAAGATGTTGGAGTTGTTGATGGATTGGGAGTGGCATCTGCAGTAGAAAGGCAAATGGCAACAAAGACACCAAGAAATTTATTGGCAAAGATGGAGAAACCAACACCATTGCCACAAGCGACAAGTCTATGGATTTTATAGGGTTGGGATGATGGGTTGAACGAGGTGGCGAAGACTTTGGAGTTGTTGATGGATCGAGAGTTGGCGCCATCCGTAGTGGAGAGGCAAGTAACGAGAAAGACATTATGGAATTTGTTGGGAAAGATGCAACAACACCGATATCGTAGGTGACAAGGCTCCAAATTTCTAAGATTAGAGATGATAAGATGGACGAGATGGCAAAGACATGGTGGCTTTAAGGATTTAGAAATTTGGGGATTTGGGTTTCCAGTTAGAGAGAAAAGAAGAGCATGGAGTGGAGGCAATGTGGTATTTTTTTAATAATTTGTAAATACTAACTATTATTTTAATAATAAAAACCTTTTTTAAACTTTTTTCCTAGACGATGACATTATTACTTAGAACTCACAAGGTCAAGTGTCCATCATGATTGATTACCGTTAGTTTTAATATATCACATCGGATTAACGGTTAACAAGGGTCTCAATCAATAAATTTTTAAGAGTAAAGAGTTTTAATAAAGCTAAAAAAAAAGTAGAATGTCTCAATTAAAACATTTTGAACAATACATGAACCAAATATAGAGTAAACCCAATAATTTATCGTAGATTCCTCCTTTCGGTATTAAAAAAAAAAACTAAAATTATTATTCATTAATTGATGATGTGCCATACCATCAATAAATTATTTATTTATATTGTCCTCATAGAACCTAACCATTATAGTATAGATAGGGAAGGGTCGAACCCACGAGAAAGAAGCTTAATTGATGGTTTCTTTCAATTGATTGTTTTTATAATGTAAAAGCGATAAAAAGGAGGTTTGTGCTTAAGGTGTTTGTGAGCAATTAAAATAAATCATAATAATAATAATAAAAGAACTTTGGTTGAATTTCGGTATCCGAGTTTTGGTTTGGTCGTTGATCATCGATTTAATTTATTAACTTTATCCTAAACATGAATATTCACCGTAAGATAACAACATGTATGTTGTTTCCAATCTTTTCTTACCGAGTCATTAACGGAATATACGATATTTGATTAATTCCCTAGCTACCGAACAACCTACTTAGACATTAGAGAGATTTAATCCAATAACGACATTAATTAGAAATAAATAGATGAAGTTAAACAACCTTTCTAAATGCTAGAAAAATATAATCTAATTCTATGTTTTCCAAGGGTTTGAATGAAAACATGAAAAATAATCATCAACCCCTAGTTACCACCACAGGCAAGTTTAGATAAGCAATTACATGAACTTGAATACTTAGCTAACAATAGGTTAAAATGATCAAACAACTAGTACGCACTCTAATTAATTTAATCATACAACCATAGACCAATCATACAAAAAAACATAAAATACTTAAACAAGATAAGTTTAGAATTAAAACCCGGAATCGCATAACGATTTAACTAAAAATATCAACTTGATTCAACTAAGAATGATGTTTAATTCTTCACGATGGGTTACAAAAAAAGAGTTTTCTATCTATAGTAGGTTGCTAAAAGTTGAAATCCCAAAATAAAACCCTAACATACTATCTATAGCTAGAAATAAGGTTACATCACATAAGTGTCGACCCATATGACCACATGGGTTGCTTAGAAAAGTTATATGGTTTGTCATTTAATCTCACACAGTTTGAAGCCTTGAAGAATCACTGTTGCATCATTTATTGACTAGAGGCACACGACCACGTGCCTTTTACCTTCATCTCATATCTCCTCATTCTACCCATGTCAAATTTTACCTTCAAGTTGTGTTAATTCTTTCTACCCGTATGACTTCTTCTTGCTTTATGAGACATAAACATATCTCTCTTCACTATAAATTATGTGGAATGCCTATTGCTTGTGTGTTTCTTTTTTCTTTTGGAGGATAATTCAGCTTAACACACGCACGGGTATGTTTGATTCCTTCCTCTAGCCATGTGAAAAGTCACTACTCGTGTGGCTTTTGTTATTGAGCAATCCACACGATTTCTTCGGTTATGTCACACGATCGGTAGCTATTTTCCTTTATAAGTGACATGACCTTGTGACTCTTTTAAGCCTTTTTGGTGACTTTCCCTCTCCTTGCTTTGGTTTTAGGTTTTCTTGCTTTGATTCATTATTTTTCCTATAAAGCCCAAAGCTGTCATCTTGATTTTAATTAACCTAATATAATACAACAAACACTAGAAAATTTAATGTAATAAAGCATAAAAATTATGTTAATTATGCACTCATCAAATACTCTCACACTTAAACTTTGCTAGTCCTTCGAGCAAAATAAATAAAATAAAAACCTAACTCATTTTCATAAGAATCACGAGTTGCATTTAGCATATGCAACAAGCCTTTAAACCCCTAAGTTACTCCTAGTTGACAAGTTGTATCTCGTGAGGGTTTTCGGACTATAAACTCATAAAAGTATTCAAACAAATATCATGCCAATATGATTATTCTTTAAACATTGATACTCGATTTAGAATCTAACAAAATCCAATAGTCAAATCGATCATGTTCAAAACATTATTATCATACCAATGCATATCTCTAAATTGATTTATGCATCTTTATAACTAAACACAATTCAAGCATGCAACACCAACTTTACCTTTATCCCTTTTTCACTACTACAAGCAAAACAATAAACTAACATTTTCTTTAATAAAAAAATTTTCCTTTTTAAGCATCTCAATTTTTGTTCAAGGCCTTTAATAGCTTTTTTCTAAGTGATCACTTGCCTTTTTACGTGATTATTGACATTTATGATGAAGGTAACCGATTATTTAACAAGTCATCAACCTAAAGTGCTTTGTATACTAATAATTTGAATTGTTATTTAACATAAAAGTAAATATCTGTGATGAATACTCCTAGTTACTAAGAAACCCAAATCATTAGAGAAGAATTTTTACTTAATTAGGCTAAATTTTTCTAATGGAAAGCTTTTCAAATTTCTTTCTCAAATTTCATAAAAGTTAGAAAATCCTATTTATTTAAATCGTGCTTAGGTCTAATTTTCTAATGTTACTTACAAAGTTAGTATTACTACCTAAATTATATTTAATCATAAAAACATATAAAGCTTTCTAGTATGCATGCACTTCTATAATAATAATATCCCAAACGAGTCTTATTAATCTTATTAAATTTAATTAAACTCATCATCAAACATCAATCAAGAAAAACATCATACTAAACCATAACATTCATTTTATTTTTTTCTTTTTTATTTTTAATTTTTTTTATAAGGGGATAAATTAAAACTAATATATATAATACATAAACAAACACAAAGAAAAAAAAACCTAAATGCTAAACGCACCCCCACACTTAAATTGGACATTATCCTCAATGTTCAATAGATTTGATCAAAGGAAAATAAAATAAAATATAAAGATAAAGATATAAGAGATCAAATCGGTTGACAACACTCGAACGAAAGTAGCGAAGATGGTGGAAATTATGTTATAAAGATGGCTGATCTATATGTTGACCATTTAAAATTCGACTATAATATTGTCATTCACATTCTAAATTTACCCATTCAAAAGGTCATATCGGCTATTGTAGTTGAGTTAAAAGTCATCCAACCTCAAGGTAAGTTGCTCTACTTAGTCCGATTGGGCACTTCTCTTGTGGAACCTATTCATCTACTTGTAGAGCCTCATCATCTCCATTGCCATCACTATCACTTGACTCACTTTTCTCCTTTCACTAATGTCTCTTGGTTGACCGAACAAGGTATATTTTTCTTTTCTTTTCCAACAATCCAATCTTGACTAACTTCTCAAGATTCATACGATTAGGTCCTTTTATTGGTACAATGCTATGGTGCGCCAACCGAATAGCTTCAACTTTTGGGCAATATGGGTGATGAACCCATCAATACCAATGTTATCTTCGTTCGACTTCTTAATTGTCAAGAAACGTTCAACCGGAATGTATGTAAAATCCATCTTCACCTTATTGGCGATCAAGAATAGGATCCCTAACTCCAACTTACTCATCACTCCATTGTTGTTCTTTCTCCCACACAATGTCCAAGTTAGGATATAGTGTATGTATTAAAATGTTTGGCTCATCATTACTAAGGCTTTCGATTAAGAAGGATTGTACTCCTCTTTTTATGAATCTGTAATTTCCCTCTAAAAGGGTTTCTCAAACTCGGTTGGTGGTTGTTTTTTATCTTCATATGGCCAACCAAACATATCCATTATTTCTATCATATCATGATTACACCTTTTATTAGGCTACCCCGAAGGTGAAAAATTGATAAGCATATGACTGATTATCAATTAATGTTTCAAATTGAAACGAACTTACAAACTCCAATGTCAACTCCCTATAGGAGGGGGCATCCATTTTCACCAAACCAACCCATCCTATATTATCCATCATTTTTCTAACCTCATTCAATAACTTAATAATCTCTAATGTTTGAAGATCAATGTATCTATTTTGTATTATTTTCCTATTATTCCCATTGGGCCATCATTTTTTGATGAGCTTTCTTTTTTTGTGCTATCGCTTCCTTCCCTTTGTCTTTAAAGGTTGACATTGCTATCTTAGGTTGAGATTGAATGAGGAAAGATAGGGTTTTTTTGGTTAGGAGTAGGTGATAAAGGCAAAGTTCTTTGGTAGGTTAGTAATGAAAGGGTTGTGTTTGATTTATGGAGGTGGAACAAGTATGTCTGGCTAGTTGTTTTTTTGAGAGAGATTAAGAGTTGCAAGAGATGAAGAGATGGAAGAAGGTGACGACTGAAAATAGAGAGTTGAAAAAGATGAAGTGACATAATTAGGTTTGGATTTATATAAAGGTAGGTTTTAGGAAACAAAGTGTGTGACTTTTGGGCTAGAAAGAGAGACATACGCCATGTAAAACCTACTACTTATGTTACCTTTTCATCTATAAAATCTCTGCAACACTCGCCTAAGTCACACAACCGTACCAAATTACTACATAAACCATGTGATTTCCTTCGTCCGTGTCACCTTTCCCTTGGTTTGAATTTCCATCCGTCCTTCATGTACACGGACGTGCTATTTTTCCTCTATAAACTGTGTTCCTCGCCATTCGTCCACATGACTTTCCTTTTTACTTTGAATTTTCAGCACCAACACATACACATGACGATGCTTTTTACCTACATAAACCATGGAAGAACCTACTTACTCGTGTGTGTCTTTCTTCTCTTCCTTTGACATATTAAAGCTTACCTATTTCGCAAACATCTTTCCAATCAAGTCAAGTATGCATAAAAATAAATGAAAAATACACAAACTTAATTTAACATTAACTTAAAATAATTTTTACAAAAATCATTGGGTTGCCTTTCAATAAGCGTTTTTGTTTAACATCGTTGGCTTGACATTACCTTCTCCGTCATGAGAGATCTTTCCTCTTCAAGTTTGAACTTGACCTTCCTTGCACCTTATTATCAACTCGCATCGAGGATATTGAATTTTTTTTGACATTTTTTATCGATGAGAGAGAGCGAGAGAGATTTTTAACTTATTTATTTATTTATTTTTCATCCTTTAATTTTGCTTCTCTTGCAAAAATCAAAATTATATTTTATTTGTTTTTTTCATGATATTAATTTTTTCTATGCTTTGACATTTTTCATCCAATGAGGAGAGAGAGTTTTGACTTTTTTTCTTCATTTTTCATCCTTTAATTTTGCTTCACTTTCAAAAACAAAAACTTAAATATAATTTTTTCATTTTTTTTTATTTTTTTCATCCGAGAGAGAGAGAGAGATCGAGAGTTTTGACCTTTTTTTTTTTCATTTTCATAATTTTAACTTTTTTTTCTCTTTAAAAAATCAAAATTATAATTTTTTAGGTAATCATACTTATCCGTACTTATATAATATTAAAAGTCTCTCATATGTTTTTAGGTTTATAAGTGCATCATATTTTGCCTCCTAAAAGTGTTTATATGTTCAATCTGTTCTTTCGATCAATTTTTTCAATTATATGAATTTTTTTTATTAAAATTCCCTTGATTGAAATGCAATAAATAAATAAATAAAATTCTAAAGACTTAAAAAATAAAGCATGTAGGTCATGTGACTTTAATTTTTGTTTTTTTTTGTTTTTTTGTTTTTTTGTTTTTTTTGCATTTTATTGATGGACATTTAGTCGAAAAATTTATTCATGGTTGAAAATTTTGATAAGAAGGATAGATTGAATGTTTCGGGTTTTTTAGAGACGAGATGAAATACAAATAGAAATCTAGAGATAAATGTGAGACTTTGAGTATTATATAAGGACATATGAGTATATTTATCTTTTTTTTTCATTTTTTAATTTATTGAAATTTTATTTGTTTTACATTTTTCACTTGAGAGAGACAGAGAGAGATTATTAATTTTTTGAAACTTTATTGTTTGAGAGAGTTTTGGCCTTTTTTTTTTTCATTTTTTATCCTTTAATTTTGTTTCTCTTTCAAAAATCAAAATTATTATATATTTTTTTATTTTTTGTTTCATTTTATTATTTTTTTGAAATTTTTCATCCTCTACAAGAGAGAGTTTTGAATTTTTTTTCATCATTAAATTTTCTTTCTCTTTCAAAAATCAAAATTATAGTTTTTTTTTCATTTTTGTTTCATTTCATTAATTTATGCCATGTCAATCAATCCGTAGCTTGTTACTAGAAAATTGATTGAAAATATCAAAGGAGTCACATTAATAATATATTTATAGTAAAAGGATCGAATAAAAAATAAATAATAAAAAGACTACACTAAAAAATATCAAAAATAAAAAGAGGAAACATGCAATTAATATGTGATTATAATATACAATTTGATATGACACTTTCAATTTTTGTTGATTTACTAGTGATATTAAAATATACAATTGGATAAGATATTTTCAATATAATCAAGAGCCAAAGAGACTATTGCAATGATGATGCAGGGTGTAGTTATTGAATTTATATGATTAAATTTTTTTTCATTGCAATTATAATTTAGATGAAAAAGAATTAGTGAATGAAAAAAAAATAAATTTTTTGAAAAGTCCAAACATTTTTTTTTCTTTCTATGAGTTGCTTAGGAATTTATAAATTAGTCCCTTTCGTTTAGAGAAACCAATTAATTAGTCTCTTTTTTAAAACTAATTATTTAGTTTTTTTATCTATTAGTTACATCAATAACTTAGTTTTTTTAATCTATTTTCCATCAAATTAGTAATTTTTATTTTTTAGTTGATTAAAGAGAAAAATAGTCAATGAAATAGAGAAACAATATATAAAAAAAGTAATTGAGAAAAAAATTATTAATCTAATAAAAAAGGATGGAAAGATTGAAATATTAAAATATAAAAAATAAAATAATTAATTTTTAGAACAAAAGAAATTAATTTATTTATTTTTCAAAACGAGGGACTAATTTATAATTTACTCATGGTTCGTTCGGAGAATTAGGCCCCACCTCAAGTTTTTATAATCTGGTCTGACGTTGGACCATCCCGCTCGCAACGAGGGTTGGGACAGATTTGTAATTATGTAACGAAATCAAAGGAGCACAGTTGGTGGCAACAGAAGGTAGTGGCACGTGCGTGGGATCAGCCAAGCAGTGGGAAGGGAAGAGGGGAGAGTTGAATTCGTCATCAACCTGAAAGAGAGAGAGATGCGTTGGACGCACGAAGATTTAGAGGTTTCAGTTGCAGCAGTGAGTGACCATATCCATCTCATCTCATCTCATCTCTTTTCCTTCTTCATCTTCTTTTTCTTACCTGTTATTATTATGTTTGGTTAGATTTAATTGAGTCTCGATTTTCCCTAATAAACAGAAGAGGAAGAAACCTACTGAACGTTGAAAAAAGAAGCAGAAGAGAATGGGGAACTTGATGAACAAGGAGCCACCACCGCCTATGGTGCTTGTCCCTCCTCTCTTCGACTTTCCTCCTCTGGCTGCACGCACCAGGTTTTTATTATTTATTTATTTATTTAGTTTGCCATGGTATTACCTTATATTTAAATAATTTTTTTTTTTTAAAAAAATGTAGGATGCTGGAGTCATCTTATAACGTGCTTTTTGGGAAGCTGGCTTTGAAGTGCCTTTTTGAGGATTACTTTGAGGAAGCTTCACATTTCTCCACAAGAATTATGCTGAAGCCAATTGATGACCCTCACGTCGATTTCATTGCAACCGTATCCATTCCATCCTACTTTTAACCTTCTTAATCGTTTTTCTTTCTACATTCTACCAAACTATCTTTCTTTTTATATTACACTGCAAGTATTATACAGAAAATTTATAAAACTTTATTTCTTTTGCTCCTTAACATGAATGGATTTAGCTTTCAGGGCCGCTAGACCATAAGCCGGACGAGAAAATTGTGGGAAATGCATTGTTTCGCTGGCAAAGGTTTTTTTTTTTTTTTTTCTCTCCATCTCCTCCGTGTAATGGCTATATTACAACTATTTAACAATGCTCTGCTCTTTATATGAGCAGTGATTTGGACGACCCTCATTCATTCATGGACCTCTTTGCATCAAGTTCTGATCCGTGAGCAAAATATTACCTTCCCTTGTTATATATTCCTTTTCTTTTAATATTTCTGCTCTTTCTTTGCCAAGACTAATTAGTCTTTAAATATTCACCTCAGCATCTTGCAAATGCGCTCTTCTGCTTACTACCCTAAATATGGATTGGGAGCATTCGGCATTTTTCCATTGCTTTTGCGAAAAAGGTATGTCCTTCCTTACTGTTAGAGCGATTTTATATGAGCTCGGGTTTCTTGTTGATTTTTTTCCCCTCAAATGTATCCTTTCACAAAGCTCACTACTTTTGCAGAGTATCTACAGAAGATTTTGGTGTTGTAGGATTCAGATATGGCTCCGAAAATTTATCAGTTGGAGCCACACTTATGCCTTTAGCCTGTACGTAATCTGAGTTTATAAAATGTCATTAGAGATATATAATTCATTTTAATGGCCGCATGCATGTAAATGGATGGATGCATGTATGGGTATTGTCATGGGTTCCCTTAATTGCCGCTTTCCCTTTTTCTGCACTCATCTTTATTTATTCTATCTGTCTGGAAGATTTCTTTAAAAGTAGATGTTTACACATCCCTTCTAACTGTCTCACCATTCCTGTTTTTATCCTTCTGTTTCTTCCTTTGTGAAGAATTGTACTAACATTTTCATTGATTATTCTTAAGTTGAATCAACATTACAGCTTTTATTCCTTGCTATACCTGGTTGATGGGATGCAGGAGGAAATGGAGTATAGGGTAGGGTTGGGCCGGAAATAAATGCTAAACTGAGATATGAGTGATCTCCAGCTATTGGAGATACTAGTTATTGACATGTATTTTGGATGTTATTGCTGTGATTTCCAGCTAAATATGAGTCACCAAAGCATGCATGGCTAGTGAGCAAGATGGGAAGGCTAACTGTTGGAGTGCAATATGAGCCTGAATGTAAGTTTTTCACATGTAAAACTTATTTTACATGTTTCTTAACATAGCCTCATGAATTTTATGCTGATATGCGTCATTATTTTAATCTGAATATTGCTTCTTTTGCCTAGATGTAAGTTGGTTGTTTTCTCCTGCTTTTTTGTCCTTTTTTTTTTTTGAAAATATTTTTTCTTATTTATTCCCCCCCCCTCTTGATATACTTCTTGAGTTCAGTTGCTTTAAGGAGCTGATGTCAGCTCTTCTTACTGCACGCTATACTTCTTTTGATTACAGTTTTCATAATCTTTGGAGTGTCAGTGTGGGAAAATACTTGGGTGTTTATATTACATTTTTTTCACATTAAAAGTTTGTGTACAGTAGTTTAGTAGATGCATGAATTCTGAGATAGAAAAGATAGTGAAAGGCTTGCAAGGAATGAGGGGATAGGCTTGGGTCAAAGAATTTTTTGTCAATTAAGTGAATGAAATTGGTGGTTATGTGGATTGAAGCAGCTGTCTTTTAAGGGAATAACATAGATATTTCGAGGGATCTAATTCATCATTTTGTAAAATTTCTAAAATACTAGCTATGCTACTAAGAATGCTCACTAAGGGTGCATTTGGTGAGCAGATGGGACTGTATAGGATTGTCTCGTGGAAAAATGTGGGGACTGAAATGTGGCTATGAAATGGGGGAAGAACTGCTTTTCTCTTGTCCCACGTGTGTAACAAAGACCAATACAAGTGAAATTGAAATTGTCTTGTCGTGTCTAGTCTAGTCGTGTACCAAACACTACCTTATGCATGTTTAACAGGCCTTGCAGCATGGAAAACTGGAGATCATAACCAATTTTGTAAAAATTCATAGAAGATTGGTTTCTAGTTATTAGCATTTTCAATTTACTGGTCCATATATTAGGTTGTCAAAAATGATATTTTTCATTGTTGCTTTTGAAAGTTATTTTGATATCCAAGGAGACAGCTCTTAAAAAGGAATGTGTAATGTTCAACTTTTTGATGTTGCTCTGTTAGATGGAAGCAAAGATGGTGCTAAATATAATAACTTAATGAATTGGAGTGCCGCAATTGGCTATGGAGTAGGATCCGGGAGTCCCTTAAGCCCTTCTTTCAATTTTGGCCTGGAACTTGCTAAAACTTCCCAGGTTCTTATGCATTTTTTGTTTTATTCTTTAAAGCTTTATTTATTTGCATGGTGTCATAGCATTTTTTGATGTGGGAAAATGGTATCTTGATGCTAGTTTCAGGTTTTACGTGATTTTGTTATATTGTAGAGATAATTTTAGTGCCCCTTGATGATGCACTTAAGTTGTGGTTGAGAAGATCTATCTACTATCGAAAATCAAAACTAAGTTATGCGATTCTTCATCAACAAAGAGGTTTTCTAACCTAAGAATAGTTATAATGTTAGAATTCTTAGTTTAAGGATTTGAATTTCAGTTTTGGGCTATTTTGTAAGTAGGGGCAGAGTTGTATGCATGTTCCTGCAAACCAGGGTATTTTGGTAATTTCCACAATTACTTGAAGGTGTACTCTTATTTAGGAATTTGTGTCTTAATTCTTTAACAGTTTATTCCTCTTTAGTTTCTTTCCAAGTCAAGTAAGGATTGGTAATCCTAGTCTTTTACTGAGTCCTAATCTCTATAAATAGATAAAGATGGCATGTTTTACTTTTCAGCACAGTTGAGTTATGAAATAAATTGAGAGTTATGTTATTTGAAGGCTCGGTGCCTAAGGTTTCTTTTCCTTCTTTTGTTCTATTTCTTGTTATTTTTATTCTCTCTAGCTATAATATTCTGCTGCTAAAGTGCTGCAGGTTCCTGTTCACAACCCGATTTCTCCTTTATTCTTGTTAAACAAGCTGTATTCAACCATAATTCTGCAAATAACAAACCCTAGCTCACCACCAACCCTTTGTAGGACAAAAATTCGAAATCTGTCTAACATCAATTGAATATTAGCAATAGGTTCTGGATTTTGACTAACAATCAAAATGTGAAAAGCATGCATTGCAGTTTAGAATAATGATCATTTGGTGTTGCTAAATTTTTTATTTGTTATTCATCCTATGTCATGCAATTTACTGAGCATTGATATGCTTGTTTTCAACTGTAGTTCATTGCCTCATTCTATCAACATGTGGTTGTCCAGAGACGGGTATGCTTCTCTTCTCTATCTGTTTTGTCCTACAAATGGCCTTTTGTCCACTAATTTTATATATTGATCCTCTGTTGTGAAATTATCATATGGAGTCCATGAACTTGTTGATTATTGGGTTGATTTCACACTAGCTATCATATTGTTAATCAATTCCTGGTTTTTGCATATACTAGGTTTTATTTTGTACTTTCTATTTAGGTAGATTGAATTGAACATTTCATGGGCTGGAATACATTAGTTACTGAGTAATTATTGGACTTTTGTGGGTTTTCCATCAAAAAACATTCAATTAGTCAGATAAATAATCTCTACTGGCATTTCTGTAAACATGAAGTGCAGTTGAGATGGAAAACTTATTTCCTTTGTCCCAAGTTGAGGGAAATTTTAATTACAAAAATAATCCAACTTCTAGATTATTAGAGTATATATTGTAACTGGATCATTGGTTAAAAAAATTGTACATATTTCTATATGATGTCATCCTTATATTATATATCTTATTTCCATCAGACTGCAACTCTAAGATGTTAGCTAAAATATGTGTAAGTTTTGCATATGGTGTTGCATCATCCATTCTCGTATTTTAGTTGCCGTTGGTTTGATCAGTTCCAAGAATTTTTTATATGTGAAATGTTAAACAAAACCATTAAAAGATTAATATATTTTGATCTATAGAATTGATAATGAAATTTTAATCTGAATATAGGGTTTTTTATTTTTTTCCTTTTTTTTAATCTGTCTGCTTTTTAGAAGGTCAAGGAACAGCACAACTAGAATGCACCATTATTTGATACAGCAGCCTGGTTAGGAAATGTTGTTATTGAATTCTGAGTGCCTAGGAGATAAATATGTTTTCCTGAATTCTGACAAGCTTTGAACTGCTTACGCTACACAGGTAAAGAATCCACTTGAAGAAAATGAAATAGTTGGAATTACGAATTACATTGACTTTGGATTTGAGTTACAGACAAGGTATTCTGAGTGACATTGTTGGGATGAAATCAATGTTTTTATCAAATGTTAATATGGTTGAGTTTTGAAGGGTTGACGATCCCAAAACATCAAACAATATTCCAGATTCCACCTTTCAAGTAGCTGCTTCGTGGCAAGCAAATAAAAATTTCTTACTGAAGGTAGCTGTAATTCTGGAGCAATATTATCTTTATAGTTACAGATAGTATTGTGCTAGACATGTCTGTATCTCATACTTTTTCAGGGAAAGCTAGGACCTCTCGGCTCATCATTAGCAATTGCGTTCAAGTCATGGTGGAAACCTTCCTTCACCTTCAATATTTCAGGTGCTAGTGGTTCTAAATAGTTTCGAATATTCACTCTGCTGTGCTGTCCATGGATAGGTTTTGATTGCTGTTTTAGTTCAGTTTAGACCATTATAAGTCTGCATTACAATTATTTACCATATGTTATACGGTCAAAATATTTCTTTGAAACTCTTTTGGTTTGCATATTGATTTATAGTCTGGTACATTACGTGCAACACATGGTGCTCTGCATATACTAACTTGTATTTGGGCATGCAAGATAAAATGAAACACTCCATTGTTCTGTGGCATCTATCTCAAGAAAAATAGTAGATTATTGTAATCATGACAAAAGTGAAATAGATGCTGCAAACTCTGAAGTGTTAAAGGTGATTCGCCCATATCGTTGAACAAAACAGGGGTGTGTGGTTCAAATCACTTAAAAGACAACAGAGGATTTAAACTTGGGCTGATGTTTGCTATTGGAATTGCTGCTTTAGGTGATACATAACTTGCTGAATAGACTTGTTTTATTGATGCCTATGCATTTTGATCCTGATATGATAAATCAATCAGAAAGTTTTGGTGAGAAACGTAATGATCTAGGATAGGGTAGTAGCAAAGGTAGAAAGAAGTAGAATTCTCTGTAGAAGAGGGAACTATTGAGCAAGAAGAAGGAAAACCCTATAGAAGACAGTAAACCGCTGTAGAAGAGGGCTGAAGAAGAAAACCCTTAGGAGAGAATTCAAATAAACAGAAGAAGCAATACTCAATTCTGAGCCTTAATTCATCATCATTATTGTTCTACGCCTTCTACGAAGGATACGGTGTTTATATAGGCACCGAAGAAACAATAGCACCCTAAAGTAAATAGGAAATAAGAATCCTAACAAAATATTACCTTTTAATAATAATAATAATAACAAAATCCTAGTAAGCTAACTAAATGATAATAAAATTCTAAGTGTACTAAATTACAAACAAGTAAACTTTCTTGTTCCTACTCTGTATCACACTCCTCCAGTTGGAGGAAACTCGACCATGAGTTTTGAAAGGTTGGAGAAATAGAAACCCTTTGTTTGAAGCTCGAACTCAAAACTTGAAGTCACTTCTGTACAGTTGATACATACTACCCATTACTCTAGGCAGGAACAAGTTGAGGTGTTTGTAGAGCGGAATGACAAATCAATTGCTTGTGTATGAATATATTGCTCCTCCCAACTCTACTTGTATGAAACTCAATTCTTTGATTTCTTGACAAATAAGACCTTTAGGTCGCAACTTTTCTAACTCAACCACTTGATCAACCCATCACTTGATTCTTCACAACTAAATGCTATTCTTGACAAGATTGATGCTCTTCAAGTTCTTTGATAGAATTATTGTCACAAGATGAAATAAAAGTTTCATCCATATTCCTTTAATGCATTTGGCTCTTGCCTTATATCAGAAATCAGGAGATCTAGTAGCAACTTTAGCTAACCGACTATCCAACTTGGAACGACCTTCATAAATACAATGAAGATTAGTCCAAGCAGAGATAGCACTTTGTTGAGATTGGAAATAAAATAGGGCTGCCTTATTATACATAATAAGCTCCAAGGTTCAAAAGTCTTTTAAATTACTTCATCTGATGTAGGAAAGCTTTGAGATTTCACTTCTATGAAGGATTTTTGGTGAGCGAGGGTTTGCTGTTCGTAGAATTAGAGTAGAATAGAGTAGAAAATAGGCCATGAACAGTGATTCAGTTACTTTAGCAGTAGCACTTTTAAGCAAGAAAGAAGAAGAATTGCGAGAAAAATAGGAGAACAAGAGAAAGGAGAAATCTTTGGCACCATTCCTTCAAAATATCTCTAAAATTAAATTTTATTCATATGGAGCTCTGCAGAAAATTAAAACATACCTTCCTAACTTCTTAAAAAATAGGATTACTAATCCTTATTTGACTAGAAAAGAAACTAACAACGAATAAACCATTAAAGACTAAGAAACCAATTCTCTAAATAAGACTGTAATTCTAAAATTTACTATAAAATCCCTTATTCGCTATAATATGTGTCATTACAATTCTAACCCTGCTTAGTAAATAGCCTAAAACTGAAATTCAAACTCTTAACTAAGAAACCCATCATTATAACTTAAACCTCTTTGTTTATGAAGAATTGGGCAACTTGGTTTTGATTTTCCATAGTACTTAAATTTCTTTAACCATAATTTAAGTGCGTCATGATCATCACTTACTCGATACAAGAATCTATGAATTTTAACAAATAAAACCCACCTTGTATAATGGGACTCTCCGATAGAATCATAATCTTTGTACACGATGGAAGCAATTTGCTTCTTACTAAATACAGTAGCATCAATCCTAACTTATAGACTTTCTGGCAAATCTGACATGGATTGTTGGAGAATCAATGTTGTGCAATGATGCATGATGTTGTCAGTGGCAAAATCTCTACCTTTATCCAAAGTATAAGCTATTTTGGTGGGGTGGGGGGTGGTTTAGGGGTATCTGTTTTCACACTCTCTAGTTTTTTGAAATATTTTTTTGACAGCAAAAATACTAGGTCTTGTGGTTTAGGGTTTGAACCAAGTTTACGCTCTGAAGAAAGGAAACAAGAAACCCTATAGGAGAGGATTCTCTGCCTTCTACAAAGGATATGGTGTTTATCTAGACACCAAGAAACCCTACTTGCCTAAAATTAAATAGGAAATAAGAATTTTAATAGAATATTACATTTCAATAATAATAATCATAGTAACAAAATCCTAGAAAGCTACCTAAATAATAATAAATTTCTAACTAAATTACAAACAAACAAGCAAACTTTCTCATTCCTATTCTGCATCACATAAATGACGAGGTCTGGTCAAATTTTACATTAGAAGCTCCTTTGAAATATGGTCCAGGTTCTGGGCCTCAATAACATAGGTCAGCTTTTATTGTTTTTGTAGCCTTTTTTATGCGCTTGTAAACTGTTATGAGACTTTCAGTTTTTTAACCAAGCAAATAATTCGATTGTTTTGCAGCTACTAGGGATCGTACTATTGGAAAGACATTATATGGTTTTGGCATCCGTGTAGAAAATCTCAGAGAAGCCAGGTTCATCATTTGTTTTTCTGTCCTTTTGTAAGCTACTATAAGTATCGATAAATTTCTCTGAGCAGTGATACTCAGCAAGCTCATTATCTAAGTATCTAACTTGTTGTAGTAAGTCATCAAGTTTTCATGTTTTCAAGACAACTGGTTCCTGACATGTTGATGAGCTTGCATGAGCTTGAGCTCTACATGATAATTGAAGTGCTCTAAGTTTGGAATCTTTGCAAGCAACAAGTTTCTATCCTTATTGATAGTATACACGCAGTTATCAAAGAGCTGATCCAAATTTCGTAATGCTGACTCCAAGCAAGGAGCATCTAGCAGAGGGCATTCTTTGGAAAATTGGGAAGCGGCCTATGCTGCAATCTGATGTAAATGCTGGAAATTTTGATGGTTTGCCAAGGGAATTGAGACCCCTCGGGAAGATTTTGTAAATTTCAGTTTTTAGGCCTGTTCTGGTTTAATTAGATAGCAGAACTTGTCATGGGTATTTCCATTGGCCAGGTTGATATCTTAGCCAGGACAGGGAACCTGGCTGTCCTTTTGTCCTGCAATATGGAGGACTCTGGAGTTGCAAAATGTTGACAAAAATTTGTGTAACATTGACAGGTCTTTCTGTTAATTTAAGACTCTTAAAAGAGTTTAAAATAGTTAGGATGCTGAATGCATTGTTTCCTTCGGTCAAGTTTGAGATGGTTAAGATGCTGAATGCATTTTTTTTTCCTTCGGTCAATTTTGCTCATGTTACATTGTGGCTACATTGCTCATTTACATCGGGCTAGTGTCTCCTGGAGAGCTTACATGAGTAGAAAAGATATCTTGGCAACAATGTCTTTTTTCTTTTGGTTGTTGTCTATGGCTAAATAAAATGGAAGAGTGCTGGCTAATTGATTGTCATTTTGCCTTTGGAGGTTGAGTTCTGTTTTCAGTAGGAAGCTGAGCATCCCTTGCATAAGATCATTGTCATCCGTTCTCTGTTCAAGGGAAAAGTTTAAAGCTTGACTTTGAAATTGAAGATGATGGGTTCAAATTTTAAGATGGATGAATGAAATTTAATGATTTGGAGAAGCAATTTTTTTTTTTTTTTTGAACTGCCATTGCTTTTTGTTATTCTTACATGAAATACTGCGTATAATTAAACAGTTGTTTTGCCACCACATCAATTGATTTGGCTATTTAATGTAGGTGGTGGTGCTGCTTCATTGACTTGTATCCCTTGAGAAAAAGCATTTAGTTGTATTCCCTAAAAAACAAAATGTAGCAACGTTAAACTTTTTTGCATCTGGCCTAAAAGAGTTTTGAGATTAGTGTTTTTTCTTTTGTTGGGGATTTTAAAGTTGACACATGGCGTGTAAGAAAACTAAGTGATGGGACACTTCAGTGTTAAGAAAACTTTAGATATCTTAGTTGAGCATTTCTTTTGGCTACACACGAAAAAGGATGTTGAGTGAGTATGTGAGAAGTGCATTACATGTAAACAGGCCAAGTTTAAGGTTTTACCCCATGGCCTTTGCACACCTTTACCTATACCTAGCGTGCTTTGGGTTGACTTATTCGTGGATTTTATGTTGGGGTTACTTAGGACAAAAAAGGGTAAGGATTATATTTTTATTATTGTTGATAGGTTTTTGAAGATAGCACATTTCATCCTATGCCATAAAACTAACGATGCCAAACAACATTGTTGATTTGTTCTTTCAAGAGATAGTGTGCTTGCATGGCATGCCTAAGAGTATTGTGTTAGATCGAGATGCTAAGTTTTTAAGCTACTTCTAGGAAACACTCGTGGGGTAAGTTAGGTACTAAACTATTGTTTTCTACTAATTGTCATCCACATATCGATGGCTAAAAAAAGATAGTTAATCGAACTTTTTTACGTTGTTACGTGCTATCATTAAAAAGAACTTGAAAACATGAGAAGATTGTTTGTTGCATGTAGAGTTTGCATATAATTCAGTTATTCATTCTACTATTAATTACTCTCCATTTGACGTTGTATATGGTTTTAATCCTTTGACTCCATTAGATTTAATGCCTTTTCCTATTGGTGAGTATATTAGCTTAGACGATGAATGTAAGGCTGAAATGGTGAGGACAATGCATGAGAAGGGGTGATAACAAATAGTAATAAGAATCGAGTAATATACATCTCATGCAAACAAAGACCGTAAGGAAATGGTATTCGAACCGGAGACCGGGTTTGGGTACATATGCATAAGGAAAGTTTTCCAACCCAACGTCGTTCTAAGTTACAACCTAGAGGAGATGGGCCATTCCAAGTAGTTGCATGGTTTGCCTACAAATTGAATCTACTAGGTGAGTATAGTGTTAGTGCTACATTTAATATTTTTGATGTAGGTGAGGAAGAAGATTCGATTTGAAGATGAATCCTTTTGAGGAGAAAGGGATGATGGGAGTCGAGACCAACAAGACTATGGTGGCATGACATTAAGGATGCAAACTGATCCATTGTATGTTGGAAGAGGTCCAATCACGTGAGTTAAGGCCAAAAAGCTAAAGAAGGCTCTTAATGGACTTGTGCAAGCAAGTTGGGTTAAGTGAGCAACTAAGGCCACGTCCGGCATTTATGAAGGACTTGGCAAATTTTTCCAAGAAGAGCGAGGCTCTAAACATTATCAATCTAATCCAAGCTATAAGTTGGATTGATTAAGCTATTAGTGGTTAATTATTAGTGTTTTAAATGCTTTTAATTGAACCGAGTCTAAATTTGTTATTTAGGCATTATTTAGGCATGTTTTTAATTTTGGCAACTAGGAATATGTTATTCTCTAATATCGTAGGATATTCTAATATTTTAAGAGATTCCTAAATTTTAGGGATTGAGACATAATTAGGGTATTAGGGTTTTGTATTGTTTCAGCTCTATAAAGAGGCTTTGATATGTATGAATTTCGATAGCTTTTTGTTTTCAATAAAAGTGAGGTACTTTCACTTTGGTTTTCTCAAGTACTTACAAAACTTACCAAGTTTTAATTGATAAAACTTGTGGCATTCGAAGGCTTATCACTCTTTTCTTACTTCTCCGAGTATGATGCATATTCCTTCTTTAATCTTATAGTTCAAGTCTTATTTAGACTTAGGGTCGAGGTTTTTAACAATCTACAATTCGAAACAAGTGTCAAAGTACATAAATCTTTTAATGAGATAACCGTGATGACTTTAAGTCTAAGGACCAATCGTACCTATCTTGTATGAGATTCGCATAGACTAAACCAAATGGGTTCTTATGGCGAATCCGAGTCCGGTGATATGTTCTCTAACATAAATTACCTAAGTGCTTGCTTTGACATCATCATGCCAATAGGTGTAAGATCTTCTATTACTATCATATAGCATGAGCATAGCATTCACAAGTCTAACTACATATAGTCAATGACCATTCTTGACAATGCTACGACTTGAGACATTTAATGATATCATTTATATGCATTAGTGTTTGTCTCATATCTTTCAATCAATCATTAATGCAAATGCATATTATATTAACTTCTATTCAATAAATAAATATAAGCATAAGAATTAATAGAAAGACTTTTTTATTATTAATAAAATAAATGATACAATGATATAATAACTCAAACCCATCCAAACATGATTGGATCTTTGGCACCTACACTAATAATCTCCCACTTGCATTAGAGCCAACCAGCCATGTTCATTAATCCCATCGATTGAGTGAGGGACTTATGTTTCAACTATGATAAATGCTTAGTTAAGGGATCAGTTATGTTGTCATTAGTGTAAACCTTTTCTATCCTTATGTCGCCATGATCGATAATCTCTTTAATTAGGTGGTAGCATTGTAATACGTACTTAGATCATTAATGAGACCTTAGTTCCTTAACCTATGCTATAACTTCGTTTTATCACGAGTACAATACTATTGGATCAACAATAGTCTAGATAGAAATTTACAAATCTAGACGAGCTTCCTTAGTTGTTTTTACGGCTACAATATTTTTAGTTGTTGTTGTTGGGTCAACCATTGTTTCTTGTTGGAACTTTTTTAGCTAATAGCTCTACCATTTAATTAGAAAATGAATCCCGAATGTGACTTAAATTTATCATGGTCAATTTGAAAGTTAGCATTTGTGAACCTTTTCACCATTAGTTCGTCTCCTCCATAGATCGGGAAAACATCTTTAGTTTTTCTCAAGCACTTAAAAATGCTCTTAATAGCTTAATATTTACTATATATACTAAAAGTATATGAGACATCAAATCACATACACAACATGACATACATAATAGATTTTATGGCTAATGCGTAGCGAATGTGACTCATCCTTTCCTTTTCGTTTTGTATGTTAGGACACTCAGCCTTGAAAAGTTTTATACCATGTGAAATTAGAATAAGTCCTCTATTGGATTGTTCTTTACTGAACCTTATTATTATTTTATCAATGTATATGCTCTCTATTTTTATGTAGTTTGGATATGCGATTCTTATTTATATGGCCAAGTTGATAATGCCAAAGATAAGTTTTGTTTAGATCATTTGTTTTTAGTCTTTTTGCATTTTTGTTATATATAGGTGTTCTATGTTTAAAACATATAAACCATTATTTATATTAGCATTTTCATATAAAATATCATTTTTATAAAAGGAACAACCTTTATTCTTAAATAAAAACAAAAAACCATCTTGGTCCAAATAAGAAATGAAAAGATATTTCTAGTTATAGTAGGAATATAATAACGAGTTTCTAAGTGTAAGCACAAGTCCGGATGGTTGTCCTAACTCATGCTAACTCATAGGTGCCTACTGCTAATGGTACAACTCTTGAACCATTACCCATACATAGATCAACCTCACTTGAAGTGGTTTTTCTTGCTTCTTTAAGTCCTTTCAAATTTATGTAAATATGTGCACCACATCTAGTATCAAATACCCATGATATGGGACTAAAAGCGAGAAAAGTTTACCTCAATAACATGAATACTTGAGATGCTTTCGAAATCTTCTTTTGTACCCCTTCATGGTTCTCTTTATTGTCTATCACGGAGAGCATTTTCCTATGTTAGAGGATATTCCTCTTATTCATTTTTCGGTTAAGGACCATTTAAGGTGTTACTCCCGGTAATTATCGATCTTATTGGCGTATTATCGGTTATATCGTGTAATAACTTTTTTTTTTCAAACGGGGACGGTACCATGGTAATTTTATTGATAAAAAAAAAAAAGAAATACAAAGGGGCATAATCCAGTCTTACCCAAAAAAACTAGGGGGACAAGGAAACTTAATGGCGGGAGGACACCTTATAATTAAACAAATTAAGTCTATCCCGTCTACTAACGACCTTAGAGGAGCCGACTAAAGCTTCTAAAATTTTTATCCAACTCTTGCTTGAATCATCTCATTGGCTAATTTATCCGTCATCATGTTCGTTCTCTCCAAATATGGTTAAATGT